ATGATGATGATGATGATGATGATGAAAATGATGGTGATGGTGATGATGATGATGAAGGAGATGAAGATGATGGTGATGATGAAAATGATGGTGATGATGATGATGAAGAAGATGATGATGATGATGAAGAAGAGGATGATGATGTTCGCAGAAAGAGGAACCAGTTTTAATGAAGACAACTGACACTAATTTAGAAGGAACTTTATTTTGAAATTGAACATACAGGAAGTTTAAAAGATAAGCTCTTGCGTCTCAATCAAAAATGAATCAATAACTGATCAATATCTCACTTTAAAATAAAAGTTTGACATTTCACAGAATTAATTAACCCATTTTTTATCAAGAAGCAGTGGGCGGAGTTAATACAGGCTGTTAAATCTGAGGGGCGGGGTTAATATCGGTAGGTTTACAGGAAGTGTAAAAATGTTTAAAACAGATTTTACAGTGTAATGTGACATCAGTCTGTAGAGCAGACATCACAGTGATGTCACCGTGATGTCACACCTGGAGCACAGGATGACACCATGAATGCACTTATTTTTCTTTCCCACAGGAAGAATGATTTTCATTAATTGATTTATAAACTTTAAAAAGTAACATTTTGAAAAATAAAATGTGTTAAGGTAAATAAAAGATTTAAAACACTAACATTAACCCTTGATATCAGTTTGTCAGTGAATCTGAAAAACAAATGAGGAAATCACAGAAACTTTTCAAAATAAAAGTTTGAATCACACAAGTAATCAATTTAACTTTGATGTGAAATATTTTTGACAGTTTTTATTCATTAAAACCTAGTCACAGCCAGACTGATCAATAATCACAACAAATAATCAATATCTTTATTAAACTAATTTGTCTAATGTCTTGTCTGAGTTTGAAACCAGTCTAATATACACTCACCGGCCACTTTATTAGGTACACCTCGCTAGTACCAGGTTGGACCTTTTGCCTTCAGAACTGCCTTAATTCTTCATAGCATAGATTCAACAAGGTGTTGGAAACATTCCTCAGAGATTTTGGTCCATGTTGACCTGATAGCATCACACAGTTGCTGCAGATTTGTTGGCTACACATCCATGATGTGAATCTCCCGCTGGATTGAGATCTGGTGACTGTGGAGGCCATTGAAGCACAATGAACTCATTGTCACGAGAAACCAGTTCGCGATGATGTGATCTTTGTGACATGGTGCCTTCTCCTGTTGGAAGTAGCCATCAGAGGATGGGTGTGATCATAAAGGGAAGGACATGGTCAGCAACAATACTCAGGCAGGCCGTGGCGTTTAAACAATGCTCAATTGGGACTAAGGGGCCCAAGGTGTGCCAAGACAATATCCCCCACACATTACACCACCACCACCAGCCTGAACTGTTGATACGAGGCAGGATGGATCAATGCTTTCATGTTGTCTACGCCAAATTCTGAAAATCTGAATGTCGCATCTGAAATCGAGACTCATCAGACCAGGCAACGTTTTTCCAATCTTCTATTGTCCAGTTCTGTTGAGCCTGTGAATTGTAGCCTCAGTTGTTCTTAGCTGACAGGAGTGGCACCGGTGTGATCTTCTGCTGCTGTAGCCCATCTGCTCCAAGGGTCCACGTGTTGTGCGTTCAGAGATGGTATTCTGCAGACCTTGGTTCTAACGAGCGGTTATTTGAGTTACTGTTTCCTTTCTATAATCTCCAACCACTCTGCCTAGTCTCCTCTGTCCTTTGACATCAACAAAGCATTTCCACACAACTGCCCCTCACTGGATATTTACTCTTCTTCGGACTATTCTCTGTGAACCCTAGAGATGGTTGTGCATGAAAATCCCAGTAGATCAGCAGTTTTTGAAATACTCAGAGCAGCTCGTCTTGCACCAACAACCATGCCACGTTCAAAGTCACTTAAATCCACTTTCTTCCCCATTCTGATGCTCGGTTGGAACTTCAGCAAGTCGTCTAGACGCCTAAATGCACTGAGTTGCTGCCATGTGATTGGCTGATTAGCTATTTGTGCTAACAAGCAATTGAACAGGTGTAACTAATAAAGTGGCCGGTGAGTGTACGATCTGAAGTTAGGACCAGTCTAATATATGATCTGAGTTTGGACCTGTTTAATGTCTCATCTTAGTCGGAAACCAGTCTAATATATGATCAAACTTTCAGACCAGTCTAATATGGGCGGCTGTGGCTGAGGGGGGAAAGCGGTTGCCCTCTAACCAGAAGGTCTGAGGTTTGATCCCAGCCTTCCCCATCTGCATGCTGATAGATGCACTGTATGAATGTGGGTGTGAATGTGTGAATTACAGAACAATTGTACTTATTGGGGCTTAATATATGATCGTTAATTTCTTTTGGACTAGCATGAATTGACATTTGTCTGTGAGCTGTTACCACACTTCCTCTGAGCTCTTTCCTTTACATCACTTCCTGTGGCGAGATGTCCTCATTGGTCGATTACTGTGCTAGACTAGACGACTACTCTGCACAAAGCCTACAAGATATAGACAGACAGGTAGAGAGAGAGACAGGTACGTTAGAGCAGGTAGAGTGAGACAGGAGGTTAGAATGCAGATGACTACACTCTGATTATATCTTTAATAATCAATTATTTTCCAACAACTGTGGATTAGTTGTTGGGATGTTTAACAGATTCACTGACACCAGTTCAGTCAGTTACTGTGCAGCAGCCTATTATCAATAACATTGATTATAGATATTGATCCACAAACAGAACCAAATCTGCATTGCACACTCCCTGGTACAAGACACACACCCCCTACAGGTGAGTAGGGGCATCACACAGGTGTGAAGAGGACTATAATATGAAGCAGCATCTGAGTTTATCCAGTTAGTTTAAAACTGAGTTTTCTGAGACATGACAGTGGTTCCCATCTTCAAAAGAGGTAAATCCCCATGGTAATACTCCCTCGCAGCAGGTTAACGAGTTAGCGTCAGATCTCAAGGAGCTTGGTGGACAAATGATGAGAGATACAGGTGTTTCCTGTCACTAATGAACTATGTCACCACTTTGAAAAGCATCAAAATAAGTCCAACAAACAATAGTAATTTTGAAATTCAAATTTTCTAACATGCTACTTACAATACTGTTGAACCTGACATTGATGCTGTTGATATCCCAACATTAATTGACTCGTCTTTGTGATGTCACTGAGCCACTTGATGTAAAGAACCCTTTGTTTACAGGATTCATTACGTCAATGTCGGCTCTTTGTTAACTACTAGAGGGCATCATTCCTGATTATGAAGACTCAGTAGTAAGACATGTTGATGAATAAATAGACAAATGTCTTTAGTGCTACTGACACCAAGTGGAAATTCAGACAAATTATACATTTCATCCTTTCAATCACCAACAATGTGACCGTGTCATGTGACTCAGTGAAGTGTGATGATGAAGAGAAATCCTGGATATGTTGAAATGGTTTTGTTAAACAGGTCTTTAGCACACAAACAGACAGGCTGCTGTAACCAGAGCAACCAATGTGTTGACAATCAGAGGTCAGAGGTCACAGAGGTCATTTAGGGGTAGGGATCACATAAGGTTGAAATAAGAGAAGGTTTGGGTCATGTACAGGTGGGATGTCATATACAGAGGTCATTTAAAGGTCATGAAGAGTCAGATGTAGGTCATGGCACCTTTGGCACTGGTGTCCAGGAAGACTTTGATGTAAGAGGTGGGGACATATCCCTCTTCTTCCAGATTCCTCCGTACTCTGGTCCAGCCATCTCCTTTGTCTTCTTCCACTACAGAAAGTAGTTCTCCCTCCACCATTGAAAGAGTGCCTTCGTTTTGACCTGCAGAGGATCAATAAAATCAGAAGAAAACTTATCACTGATCAATCAGTGAGAGCAGAAGAGTCTTCATCTGATCGATCAGATGACCCCCTCTGTGACACCTGGTTTATTACAGAAATGCAGTAAAACATTAAAATACCTTGAAACGGGTACAGAGACCTGCAGGTGGCGATGCTAGGTAATGGTTCTTCATCATCAAAGTCTTCATCAAACTCTGAACTACGAGACTTAAAGTGAAGCTCAGCGCTTTGGTCCTCAGTGTAACTGCCATCAGGACTGAGAGACAGACAGGTAGAGAGACATAATCAATAATCACGACAAATTCATAATTTTAAATAATTATCAATATTCATCAAAAAACAATATTCATCAATAATATTGTTCATCAATAATTAATAATGATTAGTGGTGTACCTCTCTCTGCTGGCTGGACTGCGGTTGTCCAGCTTTTTCAGGCTGCTGCTACCTGGTGTTGTCGCCTGGGAATTTGACCCACAACCTCCACTTTGTCTTCTACCGCTCTGATCAGACAGTCTGCTGTCCACCTCTGAAAACCATGCCTACAGTAACATGCACACGCATGTAAATATACATGCTAACATATACTATAATATTCACACTAACATGTATGTTAATATAAATGCAAACATACACTTTTATATAAAAGCTAACATGCACTCTAATATAAACACTAAGTTGTACTTATATATACACGCTAACTTGTACTTTAATATACACACTGGCATGTATTCTAATATACACACTAATATGTACTTTAATATATAAGCTAACATGTACTCTAATATACACACTAACTTGTACTCTAATATACACACTAACTCTTACTTTAATATACAAGCTAACTTGTACTTATGTATACACACAAACATTTACTTTAAGAGAAATGCAAGATCAGCTGGAAGGACCAGTGGGGAATGGAAGCTAGCAGGGTTAGCGTCCTGCTTATGGCAACCTATGACATCCTTCCCTCACCCAAAACCTCCAGCAGTGTCTGAAGATCCATCCTGCCCTCTTTGCTAAACTCCAGCTACCCTCATCCTCACTGGTTGTCAAATAAGTCTCTCCCAAGGATGGTGGAGACACAACCAGGTACACAAATGTCTTGCAGCAACAGTAGAAACCAAGAGAACTGCTACCAATGACTTGCCACCAAAAACATCAAACGCAGTTCAAAGGACAACATTAGTCTGTGAGGGGGAACAGGGACAGAGAGGTTCTCCTCCACTGACCAGAAGAGGTCAGATGGGCTCACAGTCCCATCACATATTGTCACCACCACCCTAAGACTTTATACTCTGGTCCAACACCCTGTGCCTCGTCTATTTGGTAGAATTGACCGATATGCAAAGCAATAGTTTGCCTTGTGGAGTTTGGCTGGAGAGGTTTTATTCCAACATCCACCATCAGGCTGCTCAAAGGTCTGGGGTTAAACAGACAAGCCACGTGGCTTTCATAGTAATAATAACTTTATTTGTGTAGCACTTATCTAAACAAGGTTACAAAGTGCTTCACAAAATACATGTTAAATAAAAATAACGTTGTGGCTAAAGATTGATCTGACTGGCTACTGGCTTTTATGGCAGATGTCCTATTTAACAAACTACATAAAATGTGGTTGCAAGTAAAAGTATGATGAATGATAGTAATGCGCCTATTGATTATTTTAGTAATCGAGTATTCTATTGATTATTCCAATACTTTTGTGTGAGAGTGTGTGTGTGTGTGTGTGTG